GTCAAACTAAAATTTATTCAGACAACTTCAACATTTCTCACATTATCACAGTTTATTTACTATAGTTTAGAAAATGATAATAAAATATGACAAGAACTTAAAGTTAAACCATGTCAGAACAAATTCATCTTGATAATGAATTAGGTTGAATAGCTGTCAGCTGTTAAATTTAAGTATAATAAATAATAATTTGGCATTCAAATACATCGCGAATATGGAAACATTTGATTTTGTGTCGAATGAGAGACCCAACGTTGGTTTCAGTTCCGTTTTAGCCTAAATTAATTCGTTTTGGCTTGTCATTTATATTGCTATAGCCTAGCTTCTTATATTTTTAATTCTTGTTCTTTTCTAAATACTGTTAATTGACAGGATTTGTTGTGGAGTGAGGGGAACTAAAATAGCCTAGCTATGTTTACAGTGTTTATTATAATGTTTGTAAACATTTCGCGTCGGCATTAGGTCTATTTCTGAATGAAATAATAAAATGCGACTTATACGCAACTTATGTTTTTTCCCGTACTTATGTATTTTAACCATGCAGCAAACTGTTTTAAATAGTTTGATAAATTACTGAAAAAAGAAATAATTAAATGACTTTTTAAACCATTTAACTGATTGTATTAATCGGTCAAAATTCTTACCGTCGGTTAACCGGTTAAAATGAACATCCCTAATTTTGGTCCCAAATTTTTATCAATTTTACTGGTAGACCCCTGTATGAAGAATTTTTGGGTATAATATGTCACAGTTTACTTTATTTTGCTATCCTTACTTACATAAATGAATTATAGTGTCCTGCACCCACTAGTAAAAAAAATAAAGAAAAAATCATATCTGGTGTCTGAATAATTTTTGGTTTGACTGTACATATATACACACATAAATCTAAGCTGAAATATTTGAAATATTTTATAAAGTCATTTACAAACAACTAGAAAGCGACCAAAATCTCTGACTTACGTCTGCTTTCATATATGGCACGTGACTTCTCATAGAGGTCGTAGGGGTCCGGCTTGCCCAGGTGGAAGGGCTCTGTGTCCGGAACAGAGGAGCGATGGAGCGTCTGGCCGGGATGAGGGGCACCGTGGGGGAGCAAAGCAGCCGACAAGCTGGTCTGGGGGCTTCCTTGAGTGTCCCACTGTATGGACAACACAGATATGGACTGGTTTGAGTGGATAATATACATACATGCACCAAAAAGAAGTGCAAATCTCTCATGTACATCTTTTAAAAGTTCAAGAGGAGAACATTCGGCATATCATAAAGGTGACCCCTGTCATTACTCATGGCCTCTTTCTGCGAGGAGAGAGTTTAGCAGTCCAATCGCTCTCTGGCGGTTCAGTGGGGGAGATGAATTAAGCTTTAAGTGAGGGACTAAAGTGTGAAGCGAAGTATCTGTGCTACAGTCATGCGCCCCGGGGGCTAATGGATCCTATTTCCTGTGAGCTGTTCAATTCACCTGCAGCTCTCTCCGCTTAACCTGCCAATTCCATTACGAGCCCTGAATCCAGCAGAACTAGACGGCTTCCTGAAAATGATGTATCTCACACCGGGATGAAAGTGAACTCACATGAAATTAGATATCATTCTAGAAATACCTAAATGTGCTAAATGAAATGTTGCATTACTTTACAAGGCTTTAGAGAAACTTAACCTGGGATGTATAGTCCATTTAGGGGAAGTCGTGGCCTAATGGTTAGCGAGTCGGACTCATAACCCAAAGGTTGTGGGTTCGAGTCTCGTACCGGCAGGGATTGTAGGTGGGGGGAGTGAATGTACAGCGCTCTCTCCCACCTTCAATACCACGACTGAGGTGCCCTTGAGCAAGGCACCGAACCCCCAACTGCTCCCCGGGCGCTGCAGCATAAATGGCTGCCCACTGCTCCGGGTGTGTGTTCACGGTGTGTGTGTGTTCACTGCTGTGTGTGTGTGCACTTTGGATGGGTAAATGCAGAGCACTAATTCCGAGTATGGGTCACCATACTATGTCACGTCACTCACTCACTCACTTTAGTTTAGCAAACACCATTTGTGGATCTGCATTGCAATTAAGACATGTAAAACTATGGAAGATAATACAAGTGGACTAAAAACACTGTGGAGCAGTCAATTGTTGTAGGATAGTGACAAACACAGCCTGGGATATTCTGCTAAATATAGCCTTTTATTAAATGGCTTGCTGGAATACTTGTTTTTGATTGGCCAATCAGAAAATATATATATATATATATATTTACACACACACCCAGATACACACATTTTATATATATATATATAAATCTTAGCTGAAATATTTGAAATATTTTCTAAAGTTATTTATTAGTTAAACTTGTTAAACTAAACTAATAACTAATAAACTAAAACTGAAACTAAATTTAAAACCACAAAAAAATTGTTACTCGAAATAAAATACAATATATACATATTTTATTTTTGCTATTTGCAAAGGCAACACTTTTTTATTTTAATTTAGTTGAACTTAATGTACTAAAATAAACTGAAAGAAAAAGTTAAAAACAAATGTAGACACATATACTACAAAACACAAAAACAAAAACTACTAAAAATGACAAAGACAAAATTACTCAAAAATTTTAAACTGATTCAAACTTTTAATAAAAACGTTAAAATGTCAATGAAAATGAAAATGACAGAACACTATTTGAAATATTATGGATATTATTATGGATAAATATTATGGATATATGGATAATAACCTTTACTTGCCATAATTTTGAACCCTTCTAAAAGGGTTTGTATCATGTAAAAGTGGTTTCTTTTGTAAAATAAATAGTCAGTGAAAAAACAAATCCCACAGATTTGGAGTGACATGAGGGTGAGTAAATAATGACAGAATTTTCATTTTTGTGTGAACCCTCTCTTTAATATTTAAAACTTAAAATGAATCCATTTTCAGAAACGAGGAGTTTTGTTTTTAAGTCGGCCAGAGCTATAAATCACATGGCAGCATGATTGAGTCCGCGGGTCTCGGGGACAGAGGAGGAGGAATATCAATTGAGTATCACCTGCATAATCTTTGCTTGGAATAATTTCTCTTCATGATAAACACATTCAAGCGTGCTCCACCTTCACAAACACACATATTAAAGAGGCACACTTTGCTGTCAGTTAAAGCTTTTTGTTTGCTAATGCAGCAGCACAAGAGGCATACTGATTGAGCACGCCACCCATGGCGACTGCGGTAATGCATCTGTCACCCAGGACATTTCCATGTCGGGTTTCATCAGAGTGTTATCCAGCGCGCCGCTGAACACGTGCTGAGACTGAGAACTCGTGGCTGCCATTTGTCTTTAACAGCGATCAGAGATTGATGCTGCAATTGCTCTGAGCTGCAGAGGGATTTCAGCCATCAGACGCTGGTCTGAGATCACTGCTAAAGGGCAGCAGCTAGCCGGAGGTGTGCAGGTGCTCAAATCCTCTTACGTTTCATAAAAAAACATGATTTGATCATTTCTCCAGCAAACGCTGAAGCTGAATCACAACTGTCAAAATTCCATCAGCGTATCTGCTGAAATTAGTAATCAATTTGTGCTGTATTACATAGCAAATATTGGCAAAACCATTTTAAAGGCAACAGTATACACTTATACATACAGGTGCATCTCAATAAATTAGAATGTCGTGGAAAAGTTCATTTATTTCAGTAATTCAACTCAAATTGTGAAACTCGTGTATTAAATAAATTCAATGCACACAGACTGAAGTAGTTTAAGTCTTTCGTTCTTTTAATTGTGATGATTTTGGCTCACATTTAACAAAAACCCACCAATTCACTATCTCAACAAATTAGAATATGGTGACATGCCAATCAGCTAATCAACTCAAAACACCTGCAAAGGTTTCCTGAGCCTTCACAATGGTCTCTCAGTTTGGTTCACTAGGCTACACAATCATGGGGAAGACTGCTGATCTGACAGTTGTCCAGAAGACAATCATTGACACCCTTCACAAGGAGGGTAAGCCACAAACATTCATTGCCAAAGAAGCTGGCTGTTCACAGAGTGCTGTATCCAAGCATGTTAACAGAAAGTTGAGTGGAAGGAAAACGTGTGGAATGAACTTTTCAACGACTTTCTAATTTATTGAGATGCACCTGTATGTGCATGAGAACATTTATAACTTTTGAATGCTTTTGAATGAAAACCCCCCCCCCCAAAAATGTGGTCATACATTTCAATAATTTGTATTAAATACTACTAACAAAACACATAATATGCATCTTTATACTTTGTCATATGAACACCTAGTTAAAAGCTATATTTGTTCGATTCACTTAAAAGACCAGACTCGTTTGAATCATTTGTTTGAGTATAAAAAAAATAAAATAGTGCTGTCAAACGATTAATCGCATCCAAAATAAAAGTTTTTGTTTACATAGTGTAATGTGTGTGTATATTTATTATGTATATATAAATACACACACATGCATGTATATATTTAAGAAAAATATGTTACGTTTATATATTAAATATATTTATCTATAATATAAATTATATGAATATAAATATATACATGTAAATATTTTAAGAATATATACTGTATGTGTGTGTATTTATATATACATATTAAATATACATAGTACACACAGATATATTATGTAAATCAAAAATATTATTTTGGATACGATTAATCGCGATTAATCGTCTGACAGCCCTACTAAAAAACAAACGTTTCATTAGAATCATTCATTCATGAATCAGACCACAGTGTTTGATTCACTACAAGGAACCGACTAAGAGTCATTTGTTCGGAAATTGGACAACTCTGATTCTGCGGCATGTGTTTGATTTATTAAAAATAATTGTAAAAATCTTATTTGTCTCTAAGTCGGTGTAGTCCTGGACATTCATGCTTACTTTTTTTTTTCTAAAAATAATTTCCATTCAAATCACATCATAAAAATACAAATGAAAAACACCTTGAAAAATATTTATATTTGTCTTATAAGATCAGGTTGGCTCAGAAGAGTCATTTGTACAGAAATCTGACAACTCTGGTTGTGCTGTATGCGTTTGATTCATTAAAATGAACCGAGTCATTAGTTGGAACGACAAGTTGTGCTATATGTATTTGATTCACTAAAAATGGTTAAAACACACTCTGATGGCAATTATATGTTTGGCGAATTGGTGGCCAATTCGAATGAATGTGTATGATCTAATTTGTATGTTTTCATTTAATTTGTTTACTCCCCTAAACAGATTTGCTGTATCCATTTGATTCACTAAAACATCGCTTAGATAACACACTCTAATGGCGATTTTTAACTACTTTACATTTGTCAAATTGGTTGGCTAATTTATACAATGTTTTTCGTATGAATCACGTAATACAAATTCATACAAAATTGTCACCTTGTAAAAAATCTACATTTTTGCATGAGATCAGGTCGGCTCAGAAGACTCATTCATTCAGGAATCGGACTACTCTGCTTGCTCTGTCTGTTTTATTCAATATTTATAGCTGTGTTGAGGCGCAATGGAAGCAAGCATGTGTGACTGTTAATGGAACTGAATGTCATGTGGTCGAATCTGTATTGAAGCCTTACTTTACAACCCTTTGAATTTACAGCAGGTGTCAAGGTCAGTTTAAGAACATGCAGAAAGAAATATTAGTTTGAGAAAGCAAATATTTCAAATCATTTACCTGTTTTGTGGGATCCCAGGGTGTGTAGAGGCCTGACAGAGAAAGAAAGAGAGACTGATTAATATCATTAGATCTAAGGAGTAATAATTCATAATTGTCACATAATATTCATCCATTTTTCTCTTCACTTTGTTGTCCTGTAGGCGGTGAGGAAAGTTTATTGCATTTATTTGCAAGGTAATTACATCATTAGCTTTGAGCAGATGCCAAACTCATCTTAAATAAAAAGACTAAAACTGAGCCTACCAAACAGTATTTCGTATCGTAAAGGAGACAGAAGACACTAAACTAGATTTTTGACTTCCAGTCAGTTCTGAATGATTCTGAAATAAGAATGGCCAGAAATGCTTTTAGCATATGTGTTGAATCTATATCACTTTATATCACTCAGCATCACTGGCCTCATTCGTATCGGACAAACATCTGTAGTAAAATGTCTAAGTATTAGTATTAGGATAATCAGAAAATTAGGAAGAAAATTTAGGATTATGATCACTTACAAGAAAAATAAATGGAAATGAGCAATTTTACCATTATTATAACAGCACATTGTATATGTGACTCGCGCTATATCATATATTATGTACAGTACTGCAAAAATAATTTTCTTAATTAGGGTTTCTGTCATAATAAAAATGAATTGTTATTAGTGATATTTTCTGATTCTAGTAAATACATCAGAAAACTCATTATAGCAAGATACTTTATTTATAGACATACTGTATACCTTCTTGAGATAAACATTTGCATTCGATATTACGTTTATTTTTCAGACTTCACTGACATGTTGTTTTTCTTGTTTTATTAAAAAAGTGCCAATGGGGTCAGAAAAACTGATATAGAATAGTGTGTCTATATTAATAATATTGTATAAACGACCCAAATTACATCTAAATCAACTTTTTTTTTTTCAAACAATTAATGAAAAATATGACATTATAAATAAAGTTTCTTACTGACTACATTATTTACACGAACAGAAATCCATTTTAATGGTCAGCCTGGGTGGAAATAACTGTATAGTTACAACCACACATTTCACTTTTTACAATATGCAAAGAACTACCGCAATACTGTTTTATTCTGAGTTCTGAGTATGATATGCATTTGTGATATGACTGTCTGTGATATGAAGACGGTTGTTTAAGATTCATCTGCAATGTGATTAAATCATGCAAGCCAGAGGTGCTATGAGAATAATGAGTTACAAGGCCAACTTTTAATTTCTCAGTCTTGTACCCGTTTCTTTCAATTGCACAGCCTATATTGTGAGTCTTTGTGCTTCTCTGTGCATGAAAATGTGCACGCATGTGTACGTCTGGATATGTGTATGTGAGCATTTGTAGGGGAGCAAGACATTTTTTTGCCTACTTAAACTAAGAGGATTACATCAAACGCTATATGACCAGGACACGACTTGGCAACGAAGGGCTAAACATAAAGCCTCAGGCAAACGTGCACAGTCGTGGCACTCCACAAGTCCTCCTCCTCCCCCGATGCATCACAAAAGAAGCCATATGGACAAGAAAAAGCAGAGAACTTCGATCTAGCTTGTGTTCAAGGCTTCAAGGATTTGTTCTCTTATTTCTTGATTGCCGCATTCCGACTTAAACACTGAAACGACCTTCAAAAAATTCAAACTTCAAAGTTGAATGCCACGTTCTGTCAGTGGCCTCATGCGTCGTTGGGTTTCATTCATGTCGTGCGTCTCTCTCAGGTGAAGTCTGAAAGGTGAGTCAGATGGAATCACGAGGGATTCGGGGTGACTGTCAGCTCCGAGTTCTCCGAGACCCAGATGGAATAGAGCCAAGAGGATGTAAGAGAGCTGTCTGCACTGCTGAAATGCCACGGCCCTGATGATATTTCCAACAGTACAGGGAGTCAGAGGAGTATAGTTATCACCTCACACCTGCCTGTCCAGTCCTACCTGAGATGTCAATAATCCTCATAAAAGAAGTGCAGAGAGGAAGACGGACAGTGGATTTGTGCTCTGACTGCTGCACTAATAAGGTAGAGAAATGGGAATCGTAAGGACAATTCTGGTTCCTTAATGATTCTTTTAGTACTCTGGGCAAATTTGGAGATAAGAAATACATTTCTTATTGCATTTACCTCCCTCGGCAGTCTGTTGCCAAATGAGATCATTTCTGATTCCAACAGAAATAAATGTAGTGAAATGAATGAAGGTGTAGAACCATCTCAAGGATGATCAGAAGAAATGGACAGCACCTGAGTTAAATATATGAGTGTCACAGCAAAGGGTCTGAATACTTAGGACCATGTGATATTTCAGTTTTTCTTTTTTAATAAATCTGCAAAAATGTCAACAATTCTGTGTTTTTCTGTCAATATGGGGTGCTGTGTGTACATTTTTATGTATGTTATGTAGTAATTACAGATTGGTGCAGATTACTACATAACACTACATAACCAGATCAAATAAATATATTTTTCTTTTGTTAATTTAGTGTTGAACAGTAAAGAAAACAAGCCTAGATTTATTTTCGACTAGATTTTTTTACTTTTAGCATTTTTTGGATCTGCAACAACTGCTAATTAAAATAATGGTCCCTTTGATTCAGTGGTATTTTAGTATTATTTATATACTATTATAATATTTATTAATATTTTGAATTCATTTGAATTTCATTTCAGTTTATGTTTTAGTAATTTTGTTATGAGCTTTTGCCATTGTAATTAGTTTTTTATGTTTTTATTTAGTTTTAATTTGTTTATTTCAGGTTTAAAAATTTTAGCACATAATTTATTTTATTTCTGTTTTAAATTCAAATTTTCATGTAGATTTTTACCTAATTTTTTATTTTGTTTTTTTATCAACTTTATTTCAATTAACTTAAAAATCATTTTAATAGTTTTAGTTTCCAACAACAACAGTGCTCTGATAAAAAAAAAAAACAGTAATTTTAGTCAAGTAATACCTTTAAAAAAAATATGATATTTATGATATTTAAGAAATATCAAGATATATACTGATATATACAAGATATATACTCAAGATAAATTTTTTTTTTTTTTTTTTTAGCTATATCATCCATCCCTAGTCCTAATTAAACACTAATAAATCAAAATATTTTATTATTTGAGGAAAAAAAATTAATCTTAAACATATAACTGGCTCTGGTTACACTGCAAGTTTGTGCGGACAGTGCAAAAGAAAGACTGTCTATTTACCATCTTTGAATTCAGAATTCTCACCTTGTTCTGGTGTGAAATTATGCTTGTCTTGACATTTACTTGCCCATTCATCCCACTGTTAAATAGATATATTAATGTAAATTTATGTAAATTATGATAATATAAACTCTTCACGTCACCAAGAATAAATTACATCTCCTCATTCAGCATCTATTTCAGAGTATTCCCTCAGTGACACATGCTGGGAAGCAACACGCTCTGATTGGCCTGTTCGCCGAATGCCCCGCCCCACTCGAGTCACTCTGCGTTCTGATTCGTCTGCCTGTTTATGTCCACAGCTCAGTGTGGGAGTCGTGCTTTAATTAGAGAACTGGGGAAAAGAGCTGTGAACATGGCTCTGACCGGGCTCTTGGCAGAACGCCGGCAGGAAACTGAATGGTCTGGCACTTAGCCAGTGATTCACACGGGACCGTCTCTCGCTCCCTTACAAGAGGCCTTGGAGTGGTTGCTGAGAGGTCCTTTAAGACCGTAGCCTTCGATATAGTCATGAAACACGCAGAGGAGGTGAGAACAGACGCACAGCGTAATTGACAGGAAGCATGGACAGAATTACTTGATTGATAGTGGTTTAGAGGAACAGAAAAGCGTCTTAAGAACACATATCAGGTTTACTGTACACATGCACAGACTGTAGCCTTCTTCAAGATAGTTTCTATTAATTGCCTCATTCATTTTCATTCTAAGAATATCCTAATTAAGAAGGGTGATAAAATATTACGCTCTGCACGGACATTTTAATGAAAGTAAGCACTCCGATAAGTGGACTTGCATGGAATTAGTAGATTAGCTTGGCTCCAGTCTGAATATGCTAATAACTGTCACCAGCTCTTGCCAAGAGATGATACAGTGTGCAATCTTGCGAAGGCTTTGCTAAAATTGCCCAAAAACAGCTCGTCAGCTTCAGTTATTCTGAAAGAAAACAGCTCGAGTCTGAGAAATTGAGATGTACTGGTTAGTTTGTGAGGCAAAGCACATCTAGAAATCTATAATAGGAATGTTTCTCTCCTCTTATTTCAAAATCTTGCTGAATCAAAGCTTAAGGCAAGTTCAGAGCGCTTAGAAAAGACTAAAAACCGAAGCACTAAGCATACAAAGTTACTTTCAGCATTTCAACCAAAACTTTAAAGGAAAAGTTCACCCAAAAATTATATTCGGCGTTCTTTAAATAATTATCATCATTTATGCCAAACTTGAGGCAAATTAACTAATTCAACAGTAAGTATTGGGTAACATCCACATTTGTGACCCTGGACCACAAAACCAGTCATAAGGGTAATTTTTTTGAAATTGAGATTTATACATCATCTGAAAGCTGAATAAATAAGCTTTCCATTGATGTATGTGCAAAAAATCTAAATATTGAGAAAATCGCCTTTAAAGTTGACCAAATGAAGTTCTTAGCAATGCATATTACTAATCAAAAATTAAGTTTCGATATATTTACGGTAGGAAATTTGCAAAATATCTTCATGGAACATGATCTTTACTTAACATCCTAATGATTTTTGGCATAAAAGAAAAATCGATAATTCTGACCCATAAAATGTTTTTTTGGCTATTGCTACAAATATACCCCAGCGACTTAAGACTGGTTGTGTGGTCCAGGGTCACATATAGTTAAGCATGTTACAGTTATTATACCTTAACATACTTGGTTATATAAGACATTTAACCATCCGTCCATCCGTTAATTATATATTCGTTCTATTGTTCGTTCTATCATTCTATCTATCATTCGTTCCATCGATCTTTCATTTGCTCGTTTGCTATCCTTTTATTTGTGTTGTTCAATCTATTTATCATTCATTAATTCTATTGTTCGTTTCTGTCTATCATTCTGCCTATCATTCGTTCCTTCTACCTGTCGTTCACTCTATCATTCTGTCATTTGTTTGTTCTGTAGTACGTTCTGTCTATCATTCCATCTATCCTTCGTTGTGTCTATCTATTGTTTATTCGCTTTTTGTTCCATAGATTTTTCCATTTTTGATTGATCATTCTATCTGCAGCATTTTATCAAAAATATACGATTTGCTCTTAAAAACAAAAACAGAAAATGTCTCTCTTGTACAAAAATATTTGATTTGAGATATAAAACCTTGTCTTAAGGATGTTTAGATATCTTGACTGGAAAACAAGAAAAATACCGATTAATAAAATGATTTTTGATTTTGTTTGACATGACTCATTGTTTACTTGTTTACTTGTGAGAGGCCAGATGATCTAAACATTCAATACTCAGTCCTGTCCCAGTTCAGATGAGGAGAACATTTAGTTTATTCCAAATCCAGAAGGATCCAACCAGTGCAAAAAAATTCCAAATAGAATGAAGAACAGAATGTGAGTGATCCTTTGGTGAATGCAAGCCCAGGTTTCATCTTATCTAAATCTTGTTGGCCATCCTGCTGTGAGCCTGGTGGTGTCGTGAACAAACCAGAACAGGGAATCTGATCAGCTGGAGTAATGAGCTCCGAGCTGCTGCTTCTCCTCTTTGCATCTTTTATAGACCTCCACAAGCCTGCTCAACGCCACCTAAATTCTTAATGACCGCTCAGACTCGGCTGTATACACTCTCGTTTTCTCCTCCGCTCCCGCCACGCTCGCGGCTCCCTCAGATCGTTTGCTTTTACCTGATGGCGGGAAACAATTTGTCTCTTTGCTGATAAGGAGAATGACCTGTTTTGGATGTAGCTGAAAGCAAAGTGTCATAGTAATGAGAGGATAGTGCTTCGGCTCTCGTGGCGAACATAAAAGACAAGACACAAAAAAAGGGAGGAAGCTCTTGGCAGAGTCTGGGAAATACTTGATACGAGGTTGCCATGGCAACCTGCTAACACATTGAAATAGTCGTTTATTGACGGTAATGGCAATACCGCAAGCGTGCGGTGATGAGTTGTCAAAACATTTGTGCATTTTATGTTAACATGTAATTATGCTAAAACAGTAATAATTTAATAAGGGAAGCTCTGCACAATGCCACTTTTTTATCTTTTCACATCTTCATAGTCAACGAACTGTACTTTTTTCATAATTGAGAAGTAATTTTCCTTGCGTGTGCACCGTTTTGCCTTTGAAATGTAAGACAAGAGTTTCATTCTTTAATAAAAGGCTCTGGGCTCTCCGGACTGCTCTGATGAAACGCTGTCAGAAATGAAAAAAATTATTCTCTTATGTCTTTTAGAGATCATCTTATTGCTTGGCCACTTTTATTCCTCTCTTCCGGTCTCCTTCCTTATTAAAGTCTATCTATCTGTCCGTCTTATAAGTATGTATATTTATATATTTATATGTATGTATGTATGTATGTATGTGTGTGTGTGTGTGCGCGCACGTAAAAAAAAAAAGAAAAAAGGTTAAAGGCTTGTTCACACAGGGACAAATATCGCGCGCGATTATCGCCGACGTTTAACGCCTCGTGACTAAACAATGGGCGCCAATGTGAGTGTGCACACCGACGTGCAAAACGCGAGGCATAAAAGCGTCATTTAAAAAAAAACCGCCTCGGACTCGTTTTTTTGGTTTGACGCGCCGCGTTAAAAACTGGCCGACCATTGAGATTGCCGCTTTTGTTCACGTGCCTGGAGCTGCTGAAGTTACAGTAAAACACGACTTGGTGGCGCTCAAGCACAAAACGGTCTTGCCGAGTACACATTGATACCTAACGACGAAGAGGATGTAAGTAGACCAAGAAGAT